AAATTTATTTGAGCTAAGCTCTAGGACTTATTATATGAGGACCTGGTCTGAAGGTCCGTGTAGCAGGACTTACAAGTTCTAGGACCAAGACCGGACCTAGACTGACTTTGCCATCCCTATCTGCAATACTTAATAATCCTTATTGTGTTGTCATATAACGGAATTTTATGTTTTGTCATTGAGTTTTTTTTTATCTATTTATGCATATAGGCGTTTATTACTATAAATGAATCTCGACACCATAGCTTTGGCAATAACCTGATTTAAAGTTTATTATATTTCATAAATAGAACCAAGGGATTGTTTTTACCGTACAATAATTGGTTTATTTAGAACAATAGCAGAGACAGTTGCTTTTATGTACGTAGGCGTTTATTACTATAAATGAAACTCGATACAGTAGTTTGGCAATAACCTGATCCGAGGGATTGTTTCTAACACATGGTAATTTTTTTATCTTGATACGTAGCAATGGCAATCACACAGTTATCTGAATTGGTTGTGTTTAGACTTAGGGCTATATATTTTTGGAGGACCCGTATTGTTGAAAACAAAGAATAATTTAGATCTTGAACTTTGATGCATACTAGAACATCATATGCACAAGTGAAGTAGAGTGTAATGTACGAAAATTCAATGTTCTAGTAATTGTCTAATAAGTTATATAGTTATAAAAATGTTCCATTTCGCGTTTAATTTTATCAAAAAAAAAAAAAAATGGATTTGACACATACTCTAGTTTCTTCAATTTTTTTAGAAACACATTCGGAAATATATTCTTTAGCAAAAGAATTTAATCAACTCAAAACATTCTATCAAACAAATAATGATTATGAATTAGAATTAAAAGATGCATTAAATACAAAAGAATTTCCTGAAAATATAGAGTTCAGACAAAGTAACAAAGAAATACAAGATAGTGAAGAAATACAAGATAATGAAGAAAAACAAGATACTGAAAGAATGCAACAATCTGATAATCAAATTCTTACACCATTACAAATCGAAAAATTTCAGAAAATATTCGCTCACCATACTATTGAAGAAAATAATGAAGAACAAGAAGATAATGAAAGATTAACGACGCTTCTAGATCAGCAGGAGAAAGAAGCTTTTTTTTTAAAACTTCACACGATAGTTTGCTGTAAAACCAAAAAGTGCTTAACTAAAATTAATCATGAATTTGCATTTCAAACGTTTGATAGTGTTCGAAAATTATCAAAAACTGAGTTTAATATGTTAATTTTAGGAATGCTTCATATAATGACCCGTTCAAAAGATTCTGAAAAACAATATTTAACTGTCAAATATACTTTCAACGACAGTGAAATTTGCGAAAAAGCTTTTCAAACTATATATTCGTTGTCAGATAAGAAGTGGAAAAACATTCGTAGTCATTATCAGGTTGATGGTATTAAACCTATTATACATGCACTTTCAGGAAGAAGATCTTACAATGCTTTATCGTTTGCAACTATTTTAAATGTTCTTATATTTATTATCAATTATGCAAACTGTCATGGGTTGCCATCACCGGGTAAATTGATATTTATATTATATATTATTGCATAGTGAATAAAAAAAATATTGGCAAGATGAATCTTGCAAATATTTGATTTATTCACTTATTTATGTCCATACTATTGTATCGATTTTTTGTCTCCATACGATTACATCATTATTACTATTGTATGTATTTGATCATATTAAATAAGTAATATCATTCTATTACAAATGACTCGATATAAGAAACTTGCAGGTCCAGTTAAAATCTTTTTTAAGTCAAGATTTTCTTATATCTAAGGCTTTTTATTAGAGGTTTCAAACTTAATTCCAATTTATAATTCAATATAGTAAAAATCTTATTTATTTTTGAATTGCGTCACTTATTTGTTAACTTTGAAACCCCTAATTAAAAATTCTATTAAAACTTGTAAAATCTTTCAGGTTCTTATATTGAATATTCTTATATCAAGAGTTGCCTATATTAGTTTAAAACGAAAGAAAAAAAAATACAACCATGATCAAAATTTGTTATGCAGTAACAACGTACGATAATTTATAGTTGTTGCACAGTATCTGATATAACAATCCGTGCTAATAAGTAAATCAAAAAAGCACAATTCTCATATAAGACCAATGCAGTAAATTAATAATGTTTGATATATCTTTTTTTTTTTTTGTAAATAAAAGGCTTGTATATACTAATTAATAATACAATATATACATAATTATTAGGTCGTCATTTTCGTGAGGATATTATGGTCATTACATATCTTCCTGCAAGTGAAAGTTATACTGAATTATATCGTATTTATCAATCAAGTTTAGATGAAACTTCTGATTTTAATATTAGTCGATCATCTTTTGTATGAATATAGAAAAAATATATACCAGAAATTCGCTTTTTATCACCTCGGAATGATCTATGTACACTTTGTAAGAATATGCGTTTTAATGCTCAATTTTGGACAGAAAGTGAACAGGATCAAAATGTACAACAATGGAACGATCATATTACTTGGGCACATCAGGAACGAGAATATTACAAGTAAGAGAAACTGTTTGAGATTGGGTCTGGTAGTAATCGTTACAGTATATGACTACTTAATTTACTCAGACAACCTTAGTAATCTAATGATACCTGGGTAAAGAGTTCAATTTTTACTTATAATAATAAGCTTTTTTGCTTTAGGCAATGTATACTTAATACGAAACAACAATTAAGATTTTTTAATAATCCATCTATGCTCCTACGTCCGGGTACCCCCGAGTTCTCTAGATTTTGAAAACCACATATCATGGGACTTCGCTGAAGCCATTCATCTTCTGTTTTCTTCACAACAAGAGGTAATTGTGATTATAAAATATACAAGTTCTTATATCAAGAATTTATTAAACCTTTTATATTGAGTAGATTTATTATATACTGGTTTTAGCTTAACTCTTATATTGAGAGTTTAATTAGTTTTTCTTATATCGAAACTTTTTTATATTGGTTAAAAATTAAAAAGTGTATTTAGATTAGAGATTGTATCTGTCAAGAAAATCTCTACCCGGGTATTATTAAATTACCCAATTACCCGAGTAATTTATTATAGCAAATATAAAAATGTCTACCCAGGTACAATCTCTAATTTAGATTAAGTTGCCAAAATACGAACTGTAAAAATCAAATTGTTAAAATATCATGAATAATATGCTGGAATTCTATTTATTTTATTTTATTTTATTTATTTATTTATTTTATTTTATTTATTTATTTTTTTATTTTGTTTTATTTTTGTAGGGGTCCGTTTATTTTAAATCATTATATAAAGTTTCAATCTTCGGGATATGTGAGGATGCTTTTTCACGGCAGGTAGTTATCATTTTAACCAATTTATTAATAATTTATTTTAATAAATAAAATTTATACTTTAGAAAAACTATCTAATTAAAGAAAGCGAGGATGTTGGAAAGGGCGCAAATGCTGTTGTTTCAATGATTTATCATTATTTTGAGAACCACGGTCTTGGGGAAAAGTATACTGTTATACATGCTGATAACTGTCCAGGGCAAAACAAAAATAATGCTATGATAAAATATTTAATGTGGCGTGTTTTAAATGGTTTGCATAAACGAATCATATACTCATTCATGGTGGCTGGCCATACGAAATTCTCCCCAGATGGGTTTTTTGGTCTTATTAAGTTAAAACTTAAACATTCTGAGGTAGATAACTTAGCAGATATGGTTGAAGTTATTAAAGACTCTACTGTTGGTGGTTATAATACAGCACAAACGGTTTATGATTTAAATGGTGTTCAACAAGTTAAATTTTATAAATGGGATGAATTTTTAAATGAATTTTTTACGAATGTTCCACAAATTTTAAAACAACATCATTTTATTATTTCATCAGAAAAACCTGAGAAACTTGAAATAAAGTCAGCAATTTGCGAGAATAAAATGGAAATCACATTGCTAAAACAAAATAAAATAGATCTATTTCCTTCACAAAACCTTCCCGCTCCTCTTTTAGCAAAACAATTAACGCCGGTACGGCAATAGTATCTTTTTGAACAAATTCGTGACCATATTCGTGATCCTACAAAAAAAGATGAATTTTGTCCACTACCATCTGTACCGCACCCTAAGATCAAAAAAATTTAACAAGGTATTCTCAAATATAAAAAAAATTTTTCCTAGTAAAAATTTTTTTATGGTTCTATAATTTTTTTTACTATCTTACCTTTCATTTTTTTCATTTCAAAACTTATGAATAACCAAGTAATTGAAGGCGTATAATAATGGTCTATGTTATTAGTAAATCGGTTTTGGTGCAGCGTTGGAGTTTCTATCGAACACTGAATGTGTGTTATTTATGGCGTCAGTCATGCGTATTACAACAATAAATTTGTACGTACGTACGTAACATTTTGTATGTGTTATATCTTTTTTTAATTCATGTAATTTACCTGTAAAACCCATCAGAATATGATGCGCTACGTGCATCAATTTTTAATTAATAATAAAAATTTGGAAGTGTAGTAACCCATCTATCAGGGATGCAGAAATTATGTACTTTGCTTATATTACGTTAGTATCACGTGCATTCGTTCGTATCGCAATATGTGTTTATAACATTCTATATAAATTAATACGATAAAGTATAAAATAAATAAATTAGTCTTCAAAATCAAAAAGAAAATTTTGTATTTTAATATGGGTCCAAAAAGAATTTAATAAATAGAAAGAGCGCCACCTGCGCCCCTAGCTAATTAGTCTAAAGATTTTTTTTTACAAAAAAAAATTTAATAAATAATAGAGTTTGTTAGTTAAGCGATATGGCGAAGCCTACATTCTGGCTTAGTGCTTTGTTACTGTATGAAATATTCAGTTATTAGAAGGTTAAATTCACTATTTCGCAATGTAAAATTTAGCTTTGATTGCTAGCCAATTATCTTCTTGTAAATTTCGTCCCTTTTCTCAGCACATATCGGGAATTTTCGTAAGTTTGTTGGTTACACGGCCTATTTTTCCGATGACCAAATCGGGTTGGATGCATGTCGATCATTGTTGTGTTCAAAACACAAATCACTGTTTATCTCGTGATTTGCTAAATGTAAATTTGGTCCCTTTTCTCAGATCACAGCCCATATGTTCTAAATTTATTTTAATTTTAAAAGGAATATTAACTAGTAAAGGTGGTAGATATATATAAACACCTTTATATATTAAAACAACATCATTTTATTATTTCATCAGAAAAACCTGAGAAACTTGAAATAAAGTCAGCAATTTGCGAGAATAA